GCTCACGCGCCCTTGGCGCCCCCCTCAAAGCCTAGCTCGACACACTTCCCCAAAGCCCGCAGCACTTCCCGGTGCTGTCTGTGATGTTTATCCCCGAAGCGCCAGCGGCTTCAGCAATCCGCCCCACAGCCGCGAGCTTCATCGTGGCACACTGCAAGTCTTCGGAGGCCCCGAGCATTGGCCAAAGTAACTGTACAAACGACGGTCGCATGGACACTACAGGAGGCCATGGGGCCATAGCGATGGGGGCAAAGGGGGGTGTACTGCTCACGGCCCCCCAACGGCGTTGCCTGTGGCTTGCCATTCCCCCATCGGGACTTCACCCTCTTGTGTGGTGGGAAGTAGCGGCGCTCGAACAAGGTCGGCAACGGATGTTGCGGCAACCCGTGTCCCTTACATGTCTTGTGTGTCCCGCATACACGTGTGGTGCTCAAGGGGCCCACGGACACAGCCTCTCCACCCTCACCTCCGCATCACTGAGGGTGTTAGGTCAAGCGTCGTACTATCATCTCCCTGATCCCTGTGTAGAGGCCACGATGCTCCCCATGCATTTCACTGCGTGTGCTTATAACAATGCATGACTGCTTAGCTCTCGGACTGTGGACTAGCTGGCTTGTAGTAGCTGGTACACAGTGCGGCACACATATCAACTACAAATACGCGCGAAGCGCTTGGTCAGCATGGCGAGAGGCCTTTTCAGCGGCCAGCTGCCAGTGCTACAAGGCTATTGGTAGATTTTGGTGGACGTTTTGGACCTCCAGGTAGTTGCCTGGGACCGTTTGGGTGGTGGTTCTCCACCGTATATACCTGTATATATACATATATGCCACGTCTTAGTGGCCATGCCTTTGTGGTTTCCCCTCTCCCTGTCCATGTAGCTATTAGGAGAGATTTGGAATCCGTAAGGCGGTCAGCATTATTAACTAGAAATCTTACAATTGTCGTTTTCATTTTTTCTTAATGAAGCTGTAATCCTACATAACTTATGCATACATGGTCTCAATTCAAACCAAAGTACAGCGCACGCTGTGTAAAAATGTCAGCCGCATAGGTTAAGCTGTCATGCAGGACTTTTAGAGTAATTTATTTGTCTTCTGAAAGATTATAGAAGGATCAGGCAAATCAGACGATCAGGTCAAAGCAACCCGAAGAGCGAGGCCCATCCACCCCCGACCCCGAGTCGCATCGGGATCCAAGTCGCCCAATTGGAGCCAACCTCTCTCGAGCCAACCTCAGATCAGCCCCAATCGCATACACGTGAACACGTCCTTAGCTAGCTGTTGCCCGGCATATCGCGCAGCTAAAACGATGGCATCACCTGCCTGCTGCAAGCTGCAATTTCAGTTTGGAAAGTTTATCCGAAAATTGTCAGCTACCATGGGGGACAGACTGGACCGCAACACCAAACATCACATTTACGGCACTCACCGCCACCCTAACATGAACTCCATGCATCCGCGCGCAGCAAGCTAGTATC